CACCCTCAGAGGCCATTTCTGGAGCCTTCTCACCTCTCTCACATCTTCTCTCATTACAGAGGTTCTCTCCTTCACCTCTCATATAAATACATAATCAGTGTGGACGTAGCCCAAACCTTGGGGTGAACCACGATACAACTTGTGTTATTTACATTTCTTGCAGATTCACGGTCGGATTTACGTTGTTCCAAGACCTCCAGTTTTGTGCATCAACAAAACAGCTCTCACAAAGTATTGTGAATTTCAAAATGTCTTTGACCTCGTCAAACCTCATTAACAGTTCTTAACTAATCTTGAGCTTAGACCTATTTCCTTTTTGGCTAAGAAACCAATCAACCTTACTGTAATAATTAACCAAATAATCATAAATAGTGACTTCTATTTCTGCAACTTCACCTTCCTTCGCTGGTTTGTTTCTCAATGTGAACTGGATCATGCCGGAACAATACACTGAGAAAAAAATAAAAATTTGTTCTCGGCATGGTTTCTCATTCAAAACCAAATATCTTTTACTTTAATTTTGAAGAACTTGTTTTGACCCTCAAATTCTTGAGTGTTCTTTCAGCTTTCTCAGCATGGCTTCTCACTCAATTAGTGAAGAATTCACGATCGATCGTTTTGGCAAAAGTGTGCACCCAATTCATGTCGATTCGGATAGGAACGTTAGGAGCATAACCTTTTCACAAGCTTACCAGATTTACCAGAAAAAAATCCAAGTGGATGTGAGGTTTGAGTTTTTTTTTTGTAAGAGATTGGTGAATATTGTAGTGTAAGTGATCAGCTGATTGCATCACTATCTTCACACTAAATTGAATGGTCACCACTCATTATCTTGCTGCAATTCATAACCATCATATCTTACTCTGGTAGACCTTTTCGATGATGTGTTGTGCTTACCTCAACGCAGCTTTCCACTACCTCACACCAGGATCATTCGGTTCATGAGCACTTGGGCATGAGGTTTGAGCGGTCTTTTAGTAAGAGTTGGATGAAGGTTTTAGTACAGAAGGTTAGCGGATTATGTCACCATCTTACTATAATTCATAGGATTCACATCGGTTCTTTTCTAATGTTATATGTTCGTTTCAACGCATCTTTTCACTGCTTCACTCCAGGACTCTTTTGTTTGTGAGTACGTTGTTGTCGAAACACTTCTAGCAGATCTTTTTGGTGCACTCTGGGATGGCACTACAGCATGGTCGAGGCGAGAATCGAATAATCTTTACACTTCTCTCGAAAGGTGTGTACTCTTTTTTGTTTTTAGGTTAATCACTTGAGAGTCCTTATTCTTTCCATCAACATTGACCTTGGTTGACTAGAAATCTGCAACTAAGCAAAAATAGAGAGGTGATTTGAGCACTACAACAGTTCCCAAGAGATACTGCATGTTGGGAAAGGTGACTTCTTGTTTTTTGCTTGCTTGGCTCGAGCTTTTGGGTCTACTACTAACATGGTAGCCACTTCTCTTAAATCCCAAGGTACAGTTTTCAAATGGGTTCTTTACTGTTGAAACTTTGGAGTAGTTGGTCACATTTGGAAGAACTGAGGAGGATTGGATGCTTGGTGCTGGATAAAGTTTTACGACGACAGTTTTTGTTTTGTTCGGTTTAAGTATGGCACTTTTGCGACATGGTACGAAAGTTTTTTACAGGCAACACTGGTTGGCAGAGGAGTATTGTTAACTGGTATTCGGAGGATCGAATTTACGATGTGTGAAATTGTGCACCATTAGGAAATTACTTCTTGCTTATCGAGACAATAAATGTGTGGTCAATATTGCGGGCGGCCGACTGTGGTATCGATAACTTATTCGTTGGGTTTGTTAAGCAAGTGGGCAAGAAGATTCGTCTTCAGCAGTTGTTGCGGAATTGTTATTCTTAGGACTCGATCCAAAGACACATCTATTCTCAAAATATGTGAAGTATGTATGCTTGAGCGAGGCCCACCTTCATTTTCAATTTTAGTTTTCAGTATAAGTATTTTAACTTCCTTTACTTTAGTTATTTATTTTTGTCGTTACAAATGTTTTGGGGGAATTAATTCTGTTTTTAGTTTTAAGTTGGGCACGAGTTTTCGACATATATGTTAGTACATATCTATTTTGACGTTATCGTATTTTGTGTACTTACTGTTGACCTTAAGCTATTTTGTGTTTTCGACCTTATATCTTATTAAAGTATGTTTCTACTTTTACACTGATGGAGAAGAAAGTAAGAGTTTGGAGGCATGATAGAGGATTTTGCAACCCGCTCGCGACGGTGTGACATATTATCTTTGATGCACCCACTCTGACTTGATTACTCTTTATACATATATTCTTCTTCCTATTTTTGGGTATTTTAGTTGAGTAAATGATTTTAAATTTTGAGGACGAAATTTTATTTAATGGGGGTAAATTGTAACAACCCGCCCTGATTTTTATCGGAACGAAAGAAGTATTTTGTGAAATTGTATCTTGAGCTAGATCTTTTTCTTTTAAAATTGATTTTGGGTGTTCTAAATATCTTATGGTCCTTTCCGCTACAAGATGTAGGGATAGATTCCAATCCATTCCAGGTGACGGTTTGGTGTTGGCATAGGGCCTGGAGTGTATTTCCTCTGGCTATTTAGCATAGGGACGGGGAGCCGGCATGGGGCATGAAGTGTATTTTCCTCTGACTGTTTGCTCAGAGACAAGGAGCCGGCATGGGGCTTGCGGGTTATCGGACAATTCACTAGTGATTATTATATATACAAATTATGATTTGAGACATTGCACGACATGCTAGGTTTCGAAAAACTTATGTTTATCATGATATATATGTGTTTTCATAAAACCTGGGAGTTAGTATGTTGATAACTGTTTTATTATATATATAGCAACTTGGTCCACTCATGTTTGTTTTGCGCCCCCTTCATGACTTAGAATTGAGGCATACAATCCCGACTTCAAGGCACTTTCGCATCGACATCTTCGAGTTCTCTCGGTGTAGGACCCATTCTTTTATTCTTTGAATTTTATATTATTTCTTTTAGTGTTCTAGTTAGGTGTATGCTCTAAATACGTTCCTTAAATGCATATTCATTATTCTTTTATATTTCTAAGTCTTATCTATTCCTTATTCTCAACATTTGCATTCAATAAATAGTTTTCGTCACCCTCGGGTGTTAGCCAGCACGTGCTTATCCTAGTATTTGGGGAATATCAAGATCGGGGTGTGTCACCGCGCATTGCTACAAGATTGAAAATTTTACGACATAGTATGTTTAAAATGTTGAGAATACTGCATTTAAGAATCCAAAAACAGAACAAGCTCTGGAAATCGAAAACAAATAACCAAGACAAATCAACACCAAGAATTAATGTGGTTCGGCTATATGTGCCTACATCCACAAGACAGCAACAACAGTCTTTCACTATATCAATAATGAGGACAACCAATAATCTTACCAAGTCTCTAGAATTAAGAACTTGACGATAAACCTAAAAGAATAAAAACAAGAAATACACTCTTTGTCTCTTTTCTTTTCTTTCGCACACACTTTGCCCTTACGATATTCTCTCACTCTGACTCCTTGAGTGGTATGCAATTTATTGTTTTGCTCCAATTCAAAACTAGTACAATAGCCCATTTGAATGGATATAATAAAGGTCTTCTTCAATAAGAAAAACCACTAAATCTTCCAAGTCTATAATTCTTAATAGACTTAGGACAATCAAACTCCTATTGATTGAACTTCTCATAACCAAGCTCCCCCTGATTAAACTACTCATGACGAGATTCCCCCTTATTGAACTATTCATAACCAGGCATGACCAAAATCTCCCTAATCGCAGTATCCATGACCAGACTTTGTCTGATCGAACATCTCATGATCAAACTCCTCTTGATTAGGCTCCCCCAAACCAAAATTACCATCGTCATTGGCAAAGGCAATTATAGACTTCTTTGCCAGAAAACACCGCTCATCTTCATCTTGGTCCAATCACATCAGACATACTTGCTGGCTTGCTCTTAACACCTTCAGTAAAGCATGTCCTCAATTCTTGATTTCCAGGTAACCCAGTTAAAGCATGTCACACCCTTCATTCTAAACGGATATCAGCCAAACCAGGCTCTGATACCACTTGTTGAGAATATTGCGTTTAAGAATGGTAAAAACAGAACAAGCTCCGGAAATCGAAAACAAATAACCAAGACAAATCAACACCAAGAATTAACGTGGTTCGGCTATATATGCCCACATCCACGGGACAGCAACAACAGTCTTTCATTATATCAATAATGAGTACAACCAATAATCTTGCCAAGTCTCTAGAATTAAAAACTTGACGGTAAACCTAAAAGAACAAGAAATACACTTTTTATCTATTTTCTTTTCTCTTGCACACACTTTGCCCTTGCGATATTCTCTCTTTGACTCCTTGAGTGGTATACAATTTATTGTTTTGCTCCAATTCAAAACTAGCACAATAGTCCCCTTATATGGACATAATAAAGGTCTTCTTCAATAAGGATTGCTAATCCTAATTGAGATTAGTTATGAATCATTCTTCAATTGAGAAACAACTCCAATTGGGTAAACAACTCCACTTGGGAAGACCACTCCAATTGGGAAAACCACTAAATCTTCCAAGTCTATAATTCCTAATAAACTTGGGACAACTCATCATGGGCTGAAAAAAATCCAACATAAAACATATAAAAGATCATGTGCACAATGATTGTACACCTAATAGTCATGCGCTAAACACCGAACACCTAAATGTCATTAAACCAAAGTAAATTTCCACTTAATTGAGTTCTAAACACTTTAGTTAAATTAAAAAGAGCTGTTTAATTTGACTAAAACTACATAGAGGAAGAGAGAAAGACAGAACAAAGAGTTGTAGAAGGCTGTAAAATGATACTAGACCTGCATGTTGAATCAGAAAAATGTTCAGACAAATCTAAAAGCCAAAATTATTCACAGAATCAGTAAATTAATAATCAAAAAAGGAAAATTCATACAAGTTCATAGGAAATTAAACGTGTGAATCAATATTGCCATAAAATTAGCTACAAAGCTAGATAAATTCACACTAAATCAAATTAAATGGACAACACATAAGTTTACTTACACACAAACGTTTCAGTTCTTACAGTAGACATAAAAATACCACATAACGTTTTGTTATCCATAGACAAAAATGGTTAGATTGATATACACCCCTTCCACGGTCTTTGTACTCTTTTTCCTACACTTTGTCAGCAAAAAAACAGAGCATATAACAATTAAAACCCAGATCAAAGAAACTAAAAGAACCAAGAGGGAGACCAACCTTGAGTTTAAAACATCAAAACTTCACTCCTAGGCATCGAACACCCATCTCTCTCTGCAACGGACACCCGTTGTCTTATCTCTCATCTCTCTGCAAATCCCTGAAATCCCCCTCCTAGGCATCGAAATCGGCCTGCGCCCCCTCGGTCTTCCACACCCCGCACCCCAACAAACGTACAGAAATACCAAAACGCCCCACATGGATACACTTTTGGTATCTGCATACATATAAAAATTTTGCACAACCAACTAATTTGCATAATCGCAACTGCAACGCTAATTCACGAGAGATGAAATATTACTCTTTCCAATTTGAAAGTACGAAACTTTCATGAGAATGGTGTTTGGCCAAATATCCTTAAAATTTAAGGTTTTTTATTACCTTCACTAATTAGCCATATATCAATGGCCAATTTTATTTTTGGACATAATCAATGAATTATTTATAATAATTATGAATAGGTCAATGAAGCATGTCACATGAGTTTTAAGCTCGTTATAAAATAACTATTTTACCCTTCTCTCTTCACTTTATTTCATTCCTCATCTCCTCCACTCTCTCTTCCTTATTTACATCATTCTCTCCCAATCTTCTATCATGCCTCTCTCTTCCCTTCTTTCTCTTCACTCTCTCATTTTTATCTCTCCTCTCCCTGCCTCTTTCTCTTTCTCTCTCCTCCGTCAAACCCGAATAAATAGTTCGATTAATCCCAATGCTCTGAAACTTTCCCAATACCAAACACAATATTGAGAGAAAAAAAGGGCATTCCAAAGAAAAGTGCAACTATCAGCAAAAAACAAAACACAAGGAAAAAAATGACGTAATAGATAAGTATTGTCCATCAAAACCCTCTTGAATTAAAGATTTGTTTGCAAAGAGTTTTCGGTCTGCAATCCAGAATTAGGAAATAGAAACATCGTGTGTTTGAATCTAAATGTAAAAGGAGTCGTGCAAAGTGTGAAGCATAGGAGACGGAAAAAAAACAGAACCAGGAAACAGGCACTGCAACACAATATCTGAATCAAAATGTTAAAAAATAAAATAAAAAAGGAACCAGGAAACAGACACTGCACATCAAAATGTGAAAAATAGAACCAGGAAAAGGACATTGCATTGCAGTGTGTGAATTCAAATGTAAAAACAAAATAAAAACAGAACCAAGAAGCATTGCAATGTCATAATCTAAATGTAAACATAATGTAAAAAACTGAACCAGCTGCATTACATTTGGATGCAATCCCCCAGGACAGTGAGGGAGGTCCAAAGTCTCACGGGCAGAGTTGCGGCAATAAGCCGATTCCTCTCCAGATCAACATCGACTTTTTGAAACCCCTGTTCATATCCCAAGCATCGCCGGTGTATTACGGCATGCCAGACATGGCCTAAAGCAAGCATTATCAATCCGAATCCTCGGAAAACACTGGTTCTTGGGATCTGACAAATTTTGCATCTCATAATTCAAGACCCAAAAAATAAAACAAAATACATGAGATGACTTTTCAAGTTGGAACATAAATACGAAATCCATGTCCAAAATAAATAGACTTTATAATCCTCTCTCCAACAAAGGATAATATATTAGATAGATATGCATCATAATATAGCTCTCCATTACACTTGAGCATCCACAACAGATGCTTCTTGTGCTCCTTCATCTTCGTTTGCACCTGAACAACGAAAACAATAGAGAGTGAAGCTTCATATTAAAGACGACAAATATAAATACATATGTGAATATACCTACAATCATGCGTGCGTACATTTTCAAGTGATGAAAATCCTAGACTCAACAAAAAAGATAAGACAAACATACAACAGGAAAAAAGATGTACAAAAGCTAACGAGCTACATACCTTGAATTGCTCTTGAAGGAACTCTTGGACTTTTTCATTCCCGCTCCACCAAGCTTTCTGTTATGCTTCCTTTCAGTTATGTCACTGTGGAACAGGTCCCGCATTTCATCTGTCCTAGACTGAGTTCTTTGCGGAGGAAGATTACATCTCTTGCTAGACTTCTTCAAAGTCTTGCCAGCATCTGTTGTTTTTTGTGCAGCCTTCATGGCTTTTGCCCGTCTGTAAGCAAGGTCAACAAGTGGCATTCCTGTCTTCTCTTTAAACTTCTCACTGCCCTGCAGTTCTTACTTACTGATTATTATGCGCTACTAAAAAGTGTGTATGTAACCTCTCTGTGTGTCTCTGTGTGCTCGAGAGGGGGGAGTGGGGGTGGGAGAGAAGAACTTACTTTGAGCTGATTTTCATCCTCTAACATTTCTCTAGCTGCTTCCAATTTCCGGCGTATCTTGCGAGGCAAATTTTTCTGTTCACGATGGATCAAGTTACATGCTAAACAAAAAAACTACCATTGAACATGGAAACTGAAAAGTCACAGACTCAGATGTGATATTATAGTCACCTCACGCTCCCGCTTCCTCTTTTCTTTCATTTTTATGTCTTCGGCTTGCTGAGCACTGATTACATCATTTCCACAACGCTTTTCTCTTCCAAGCGATGCCTGTCAATGAAAAAAACCACATGTTGTACTTTGTTACTTCCCATAAAAAAAAAAAGTATTTGCAGTACAAAAATATCGTCTTAATGCAAATTAAGACAGTGTTCAAGATCTAAGATAGCACTAAGTGGTGTTTCTTACTCCTATCAGCAAAAAGAACTAAAACGCAGGAGAACTGGGGAAGGTTTACTTATATAAGAACCCACTATCCACTAAATTTCCTTACTGAATGCCACAACCGTAAGATTATTAATTTCCATATAGAATTGAATGGCCGATTGTTTTTTCTTTTTCTTTTCCTTATATATATATAAAAAAAGAATCATGCATTTTAAGAGAGTCTCCACTGAATTACACAGTGGATCTTAGCCAAGCTAAAGTTTACGTCCAACGGACTCTCTCTCAGGGTACCCGTGGGAAATTGACATCCCATAAGCTCCATTTTTCAAGTAACAATGACATACATCAAGCAGGAGTTAACATTCGATAATCTAATAAAAAAAACATTAAAGAGGACATATCAAGGATATTTTTGCAAATATCAAATTCGTAGTCAGTTAAAATCAAAAGGAATCCCCAGTAAAAATAAAATAAAAGAAAATTGTAAATGAATAAACAAATAATGTTGACAAAACAAAAGAAATTACCTTCGCTGCGTGCACTACCTTCTTCTTATCATTTTCTGACTGAAACCAGGACTTCTTCGGGCGTGAAAAAATTTCATCTTTGTGTAATATCATATTCTCTGCCTGTAAAAGCCACAACATAAAATCAGAGCAATACAGATAACATCAACATTCCTAGCAATGATTACAGAACGAGACAATTGGACAGTAGACTGTGCTCACAAAAAGACAACGAAGGGAAAGCAGTGCTAAATACCTTTGTTACTTCCCTTTCAGCATCTCTTAGTGCTTGTTCTTCCCTGCACATATGCTCACAATTTATAACAGTTTCACAAGCGATAATTAAATAAGCAAAGCACTGTGAAGAAAGACACAAACCTTTCCTCTAGAAGAATTGCAGCCACTTGATCTTCCATTTCCTCAATAACCCGGGACCACTTGGTAATTGATTGTTCAGCAACAATTGGACTCTTCAGTTTGGAACCAACCCTTTTTTCCTATTAAAATCGAAATCCCCATGTAACAGATAGGTTAAAATCATAATTTTACAGAAACCGCCAACATCAGTTTGTAATTGGATAAGTTTTCTATAGCTACAAATGAAAAGGTTGATGCTCGAAAATTAAAATTAAATAAAATATATGAACCCTTACAATGGATTTTAAAAGAGGCCGGTCATTATCTGTCACAAAAGTTACAGCATATCCATCTCTGCCAGCCCTTGCTGTACGTCCCACTCGATGAACATAGCTGCACCAAGAAACAGGAAAGATGGAAGTCAAAAGAAGCACAAAAGAGAATACAGTGGAATAGAAGCACGCACACCAGAAACAATAAAATTCTAAATGCAATAATGCAGTAACAGTACATTAAGGGTAGAACTATGATGAGCACATTGTAACGGTGAGAGATTCAGTCATTACCTTGAAAGATTTGTAGGACAGTCATAGTTGATAACAGTCAGAACACCATCTATGTCAATGCCCTACAGAAGTTAATGATTTATTAATTTCTATAAAGTAGAAACATTTTAATACTTTATGTAGTAAAAATACAGACGAAGAGGCCACAATCCAAGAACCTCACCCCTCTCTCCCCTTGCCCACCAAATGCATATAGGATAAAAATAACATATGCAGGCTAACAAGAGGACTCCATGAGGGGTGGCGTAGTATAATAATAGACTATTATGGGCACCATTTTCCTATAAAATCTGGCTGAAAATCTCATGTTAAGTTTTGCCCATCTCGTCTCTTTATGTGAGAGTCCACAATCAATCAGCAATTTTTTAAATAGTGAATGTGTAATTTCCTACAAGATGCAGGTGCAGTATGGTAGTGACCTTAAGTATCGGTACAATGCCCAATATCAGCCAAAGTCTGAGGGAGCTAGATTAAAATACAAAGGCATGAGTGAACAAGATGCTCACTAACATCTAGCAGACAAGAAATGTGTAGTAGTTCTTACACGGGCAATCAATTCAGTTGAAATCAAAAAATCAACTTCCTTCTTCCGAAAGAGTTCCAAAGCCTACACAAACAATAAAAAAGTAGGATTGCCATGGATTAGAACAAGGAAGCAAAGATATTATCGAGGGGCTATCACATATATCGAGTATGTTGCAATTATATATGCATATATAGAACAATACTTCAGTAACTAATTACACAAAGAACCTAGACAAACAAACAGGCAAATTACTCACATGTAGGCGCTGCGGTTGAGAAAGGTTTGCATGAAACTCAGCAGCTTTTAAGCCAGCTAACCCAAATAATATCGTCAACCTATGCGCAGCTACTTTTGTGCCACTGACAGAAGATGAAGTATGATTATACAGAGAATAGATGAAAGATCTCCAAGTTGTCAACCAATATAAGGAGGACTAAACTCAATTATTATTCATTAAGAGGATAACAGTTACCATACGAACCTGAAAATGATCACTCTAGAAGTGAATGTCTTCGAACACAGTGCAAGTAGAACTGCTTCCTTATTTACTTCACGCATTCGTCGTATCCTGACCACCCTACATGACGGTAATAATGGAAACAGTCAAAATGGTAATCAATCCTACAGAATTTTTAATATACGCATGCTAAAGATTGAATTATAGAGTCAAATTCTGCAACATATATCAGTACAGTTTTATCAAAGCACAAACGAGTGTGAACGAATTACTCCTCCGTTAGTGCCACTGGCCGTTTAGCAGATGGGTCGGCTGAGAGACGTAGTGGTTTGGTAAGAGAAAGCTTGACAAGTTCATCAACTTCAGTAGTCATCGTAGCTGAAAAAAGCATGGTCTGTCTCCTTTTGGGGCATAGACGAATCTAGCATGCAAACAAGAAATTATGAACTGAAATACTTTGAAAAAAGACGAGAATAAATTATACTTTTTGTTTTCCAGAAAATCAGCTAGATCTCAAATGTTATCATCTAAGCACCAAAAGAGGTCAGAAGCAAACCAGCTCGCGAATTTCAGCACTAAACCCAATCTCTAAAAGTCGATCAGCCTCGTCAAGAATTAGAACAGCAAGATCTTCCAAATCCACAGACATAGAATTGTGTAAATGATCTATAATGCGTCCTGGAGTAGCTACAACAATATCTGGCTTTGATCTCAAGGCTATCTCTTGTTCCTGATTAAAAAAATGGCATCATTATGTAATGAGGGACATGGTAAGAAAAATGACTCTTCACCAAAAATGATGAAAAGAAGTTGACTAGATGGCATTATGTAATGAGCCACATGAGAGATGCATTATGTAATGAGCCACATGACATATTAATATTACTCCCCAGAAAAGGAAACTTCTGTGATGTCTGAAAAAAAAAACTAAGTAATCCAGTTACCATAATATTAAAATATGCAAGAGTCCCTATCGCCTCAAATCACGAAACTCAGAATAAGGCATAATAAAGAAAAAATAAATCAAACCTTCATTGGAAGCCCTCCAATAGCCTGGCAACATCTGATATCCATGAACTGAGCAAGTTTCTCAATCATACTCAGAACCCTGAGATTAGAGTGTTAAGATCCAAAACTAATTAGGGAAGACAAGAATAATAAAAGTTTCAAATAGGAATAAGATATTAAGGGAACTGAGGAACAATAAGAATACAATTACAATGAAATAGGCAATCAAAAATATCCACACAAAAAAATATGGTCATTTAAATAAGAACCAAATCTACTAATATAAACTCAATAATAAGAAATGTGGAACTATGTTAAACTTACTGAACCCCGAGTTCCCTTGTCGGAGTCAAAACAAGGACCCTTATAGCTGGCAGCCGCTTGGGGCGATACAACAGTCTCTCCAAAGTTGGTAACGCAAAAGCACCCGTCTGTGCAAAAATTACAACAAATGTATAAACTGATTTGATCAAAATAGAAAATAAGCTATGATGTGAAGACAATTCTGATCCAACTAGAACCAATAGCACAATCCCTAACCACAACTGTTAGGTAACTATGTTAGAAGAGATCTCAACAAACTAATTTACCTTCCCGGAACCAGTAATGGCACTCCCACATATGTCACGACCAGCAAGGGCCACTGGTATGCATGCTGCCTACACAAAACCAAATAATTCAGTATAACTCATATTATGGGAGAATAACAAGAAATGAATTGTCTGTCATTGGTATAGAATTCTGAACCTGAATTGGAGTGGGTTTGGTATGGCCCAATTTCTCTAAAGCGCGAAGCAAAGGGCGAGACAAGTTCAACTCCATAAATGAATTTGCATGAAACGAAACTCCCTCTGATGGGGCAAAAAAGGGCTTATTATTGTCATCGGCAGCATTAGGAGGAGCATCATCGCCTTCCTCATTGTCTTTGTCTTCAGTCTGCTTATAATATTCCAAAAAAATTAACAAGCAACAATATTCATTATAATCAACATATAAAAAATCTATCAGCACTCTATCTGCTATGATCTATGGACTGTCTTGGGTTGCGTGAAGCACACTAGTATCTCCTTTACTAAATTGCACATCAATTTTGATACCATCAATGTTTTTTCCTTCCAAAGATGGATGAAACTTGGGTGACTATGCGGCCGATTCGAGTGTAAATAGAAAGTCTGGCATGAAAAACATCTTGAGAGACAATGTAGATATTATCCCGAGAATGTGAATCAACAACAACAACAAAGCCTTTTCCCAATAAAAGTCAAAAAAATCTTTGTGGGGATAAGAAAGGAGGTAAAAAGTTGGTTGCTAAGGTGTTTAACCAATCCGTTTGTTTAAAAGCTTGTGTAGAGATAATTGTTATTAATGAGATGACATTTAGTACCATTGGGCATATGGGGTTCAATCAGTTTATAGTGTTGCAATTCCATTGTTTTGCGTGCCTTGTAGGAGGACTCATGTTAGAACTTTTCTTAGAATGTATGACCAATCAAAGGCTCGTTTGAAGAAAGAATTGAATGCACCCCAAATTTCTCTTACCACCGACGGTTCGACAAGCCCCCAAAACATGAATTGTATGATCTTACAGCACACTTCATTGATGATGAATGGAATATGTACAATAGTATCATTAATTTTTGTGTTATTCCTACCCACTTAGGAACCACAACAGCTAAGTTGACTGAAACTTTTATAGGGTGTTGTACTGAATTGAAACTAAAGGATTTTAGTGGAGTTATAAATCAATACATTTTGAGTGAAATCCATATAGATATTAACGAAGTTTGAAAGAATAATAAGTTGTTTAAAGCAACAAGAAACACGAGAAAAGAATAATAGGGGATTATAATTCTAACCTGAATTGGAGTGGGCTTCGCATGGTCCAACTTATCGCAAATCCGAATCAATGGCTTACTATTAGTATTGCCATCTCCTAGAGCATCGTCATCATTAAAAGCTTCCTCCTGGTCTTCTTCATCACCGGAATCTAGCTGATTACAATCTTCCTAAACAAATCCACAACAACCAATGATATTTACTACTCTGTACTGAAAAAGTTTGAGAATTTACATAAAAGAAATTAATATTCAGTAGTCAAATAAAGTGGAATAAATAGAGGGTCAACTAGTTACTTGTTTGTTGGATTCGTTGTCTTCGTCAGCAGTTTTATGGTGTGAGATTGGTTGCTGCTGCAAAGCTTTCTTAATTTTGAAATTGACAGAGGTGGTGCTTCCATGGGCATGTTCTTGGGAGACTATTTCAGAGTAAGATGCGAAGTCCCATGAGGATTGAAAATTGCCATCGCCAACACCTTGCTCTTCATCGGAATATTCTTCATCGCTTGGGGGTTCAAATACGAAACTCGGAGTCATTGGTATAGACGGCTCTGCTTCAGCTTTTATGTGTGTGTGTGTGTATATATATGAGCAAGTTATTAGCTTTGAGTCGTCGTCGGGTACCAGTAGAGGTGGGGTGGGCACGGTTCCGGTTCCGTTTGATCGGTTCTCAATTCTCCCAACTTATACCTCAGATTTTAGAGAAATTAATTTCCCTCGGTAGTCCTTTTCGATCCCAACTCTATGGCGGCTGTTTCGCGGCGACGAGACGGCGTGAGAGAGGGAGGGAGAAATTTTTATTTTTTATTTTTTATTTTGTTGGAAGAGAGTGAAAGAGATGAGCGGGATGAGAAGTTCGTTTACGTTCGGTTTGGACTATTACTTATTATATAACGCCTAATCCAATAGATTAAAAACGAGAAACTAATGAAAAATAATTGAAAATTTTGAGTTTTAATGATAAGGATAAAATAAATGGTAAAATAAATAGTATCAGGATTGATTTTTTAATGTAAAAATATGATTTTTTATAAAGTATCGGAAGTTTTTCGTTAAAGTTCTCTTAAAAAAATGAAATACTATTTAAAAAAGAGTTTAAACTAAGCTTATTTTAACAAAAAATTATCTAATAATTTTATAATTTATTTAATATAAAGGACCTGAAATTTAATGAAAATAACAAAATACAATATAATAAGGAAAAAACTAAAGCCACGTGAGTAGGAAAAAAGGTGACGTGCAAAACCAAATTTTTTTTCCAGCCAATGCCCCTGACAGATATCCCATTTTGTCAGCAAGTTTCATTAGAAATAAACTTCCATTTGTTTACAAGTATGCCACTACCTCATTAAAGCCTAACCGTAGCTAATATTGGAGCAGAAACTGACCAATTACGACAGGTGCAACGCCCGACGAGGACACTTTAAATTTTTAAGCCCTTCATCGATTTCTTCTAGCCTTGGGGTTGGTGCGAGTCTAGTCTTAGTGTTAGATGGACCACTTTGGAGATAAATGGACTCATTCATCTTCTTTCTCTTTTCCCTCAAACCAAACCGTCCTGATTTTCTGAATTGTTGTGTGGAAGTGCAGTGAGGCCGGAGACAACAAGCACAACACAACGACGACTAGGTTTCGAACGGGATTGGGGTTTATGATGGGAAGGAAGTTTGAAATCGCTTGCAGGAGATGGAAAGTCTTGGGTGAATGATAGACAAATTTAAGAAGGTAACTGTTGTCGAGAAGAGCTAGAGTTTAAATTGAAAAATACTTAAAATTGTTATCGAGTACTGCTTTGATTTGATGATAGGTCATTTATGGCCGGTTTCACTCTAAGCTCATTTTGACGAATTTGTTTTCAACTGTTCAGATTTGATCTAAAGGACCAAATCTGGTCCGCATCTTAGAAAACGCGATAAGCATCTTATGTTGGAGAGAGGATCCTCGTCAGATCCTCCAATCACATCTGCTTATCGTACATTGTACGGTCAGTTTTCATCAAATATTGTTTACATTCAATTTTAAATAAAAAATATTACAATAATTTCTGACCACACTAACATATATAATTGAAGAATCGCTGAAATTCTCACAAAGTTACCCTAGTATTGGAATTAGTCCACTTTTTAGTTATTTTTAATTTAGGTCCAATGATTATAATTCCACATCAGTATTGTCATTCCTATTGTTTTGCATCATTTTTTCTCATTCCAAAGTTACCCTTAATCTTATCATTAGTTATAACTGATACATTTATGATAATCCCTTAATTTCATGAAAAAGTAAACAATAATTCTCCTAAATTTTAGCTTATTAAACCATATGCACGTTGATCTTCTTCCTCCTTCTTCAATCCTCATCGTTTTCCTCCTCTTCTTTAAGCACATGTCCATTATTTGAAGTACCTGAATAATAGATACTCAAATAATAATAATAATATATGCTCAACGGAAGAACGATAAAATTCAAGCATTTTAGACTAGAATTTCCACCAATTCAGGTAAACAAACATTAACAGTAACAAGGAGATGAGTTGAAAACCCAACAAATTAGCATAATTGTTATAGCGATGGGAGCTTTTGACGAAGAGGTATTTGAAAACCCCATTTCCTCCCGCATAGGTAGAAAAACAATTCCACCATGACAGGTAGCATAACCTTTCCGCAAAGCACAAATGACATACAGAGAAGAAATAAAAATGGAAAACCGCATCAAATTAACATACCTATTCGACAGACCCATCAACCCAACCATGGTAAATAATAATAAATTAATTTTTCCCAAATCTAATTCACTTATATTTTTTGATAAGTCGTGTTAAATATTCAATGGCAACTGTTGTAATTTATTTTAAAATTGCGGATACTTTAGTTGTTGATGTCTACTTACTACTTATAAGAATGTAATACTTGTGGATTCCATTCAAAATAGGCATATAAAATTGGACCCATATTAAAAGACCCCTAAAAAATATTACAATGATTTCTGACCACACTAACATATATAATTGAAGAATCCCTGAAATTCTCACAAAGAGGATCCGGCGAAGTTCCTCATTCCTTATGTAGCTGGTCAAATTTCAAAAGGCTTTTAGACTCATAAGCCTAAAATATTGGATCAATAATGGGCCTCAGTCTCAAAATTGTGATCGTATCTCGGCCTATTAAACATGCCGAGCAACTATCAATCCCTTTCCCGCCAGGCTGCGAATATGAAGTAGCCCTCCTCTGATTCTTCACAACCCCTGCGGCGGAGTCTTATTCTTCAAATTCAAAAATCTCAAACCGTCAGATCGTTAGTCTTTGCCAATCAAAGGTCAATATCTCTTCAAATCTTCATAGAGTTTCAACTCCGTTTCGATCTCCAATTTCCGTACATCCAAACGGACCTCAAAATCGTACTGATTCGAGCAAATGAAGTTGAAGATCAACAAGGCCTGCGATGTCAGCTCCATCTCAGTCCTTCCTCCTCACACAAGGTTCGGCTATCAGTTTTCTAAAATTTCAATCGCAATGTTCTGTTTGGTTCCCTAGAAAACGCAGGAAAATTATTCTCAGAAATGTCGAAGTTCAAATATTTAATTTTCACTGTTTCATGAAGTTTTCACTTAACTAGCTTGTTAGATTCGATTTTTCCTTGCTTATTGTATTTAGATGAAAAATTCTCTAGGTTCGATATAAGTTCTGCATCCTTTCATGCACGAGAGTTCTGTTTGGCTCGCGAGAAAAATGTAGGAATTTTTTTTAGAAAATCGAGTTTTGAATCTGTAGCGTCTTATCACTTAGGATTTTCACTTATTGGAGTAAACTCTGAGCTCGATTTTGACTTTTTCTTATGAATATTAGGTTCGGTTTGTAATTCACGGTATCTTTTGTTTGATTTTTATGGCAATATGCTCGGAAAAATAAATTTTGAGCTGTGAACCATATGAATTTCAGTCGCTTCCAGTCCTAATTGGCTCTCTGTTTGATCGCGGAGAAAATATAGAAAATTGAAAGAGGTTAAGATTATTGGATTCACAGATTTTGTTTCACTAAGCCTTTCGTTGTAGGTATCGATTTCACTTTCTGATGGGAAAATAAAATCTAACATTTCATTTTCTTTCCAATATACTCACAGCAACTTACATCTGTTTATGTGAAATTCTAGCAAATATGTAACAAATTAAATGAGTTAAAATATTAATTGTGATTAGGCTAATACTGTGGATTTTCCTGAAATCTCGTCGTCGATATCTTTTATATATATATATACATACATATATATATTTCTTTTAAATTGCTAAGCAGGAGACCAAATGCTGTACCAAATGGACCACAAGCAGCGCAGCTTCGCTCTCAACCATCAGAGCAGTCATTTTCTCAGGGACTCTCATCTCAGCATAACATGTTTTCTCAACTCTCCCAGAACTCTCAGTGTGATGTTCTCATGAACGATCAGGTTAATTCTCGTTTCAGCTTCAAGCCAAGTGTTAAGCTCTTTTATGCTTGTTATCAAAGTGGAGAAAAAGAAACTCAAGTTGTGTCTTCATCATTTTATTTTGATGAACAGACAATTCAAAGAAGCAGATAGCATTCACTGTCATTTCTTTTACTCAGAACTTAGCTGGATTGATTATTGGAATCTGTTCTCATTTGAAAGTCTTACATCTGTTCATACTATATCTGCAGAGGTTTGGCTCTCAAGAACGAGAGAATTCTGTGAAGAAAGTTGCTTACTTACCCCCAATTAGTCATGCACGTGACGAAAGTCAATTGCAGATCTCAAGATCTTCCACCAACCTCATGCGCAAGTGGAGTTCCGCTTCTGTTTCAGATCATCGATGTAAGTTTCATCCACAGTTGGACATGATTAAATGGTGTCTAGAAAGGCTTTTAAGTATTGGTAACGTATTTTGTGTCAAGTACTACGAAAGGTTGTGACGTTTAATTTGTAACTGGGTAAGCATAGCTGGCCAATGAAATTATTGCTCTTTATATGGTTACTTTTAATGGGAACCCAAATGTTTTACATGCCTGAGCAGGTCAGAATAGTGTGGAATTTGAACACCGGATTGGAGTGATGGAAACTTCATTAAATAAGTTTGGAATGATCTTGGATTCTGTCCAGCGTGATGTAATGCAAGTAAAAAAAGGGATGAAGGAAGTTTCTATGGAGAGTGAGTAATCTATTCCTCTACGTACTGAATACATAGAAGCAGAAGAGAAAATGTATAATCTAAGGCTTCGAAGTTGAATTACTCGGCATAAATTTTAATTTGTATGTTCCATTTTCTCATTGTTCTAAGTATTAAATTGTTCTAACTTACTAACATTTTTAAATAAAGAATTTCATTCTGACCGATAGGACTTATATATTACTTGTTAATGGGAAAATATATTTGGGAAAAACTGATCTCGAATGCACATGTTGTCAAAAGTTTCAGATTCTCATTACTTGAAATATTATTATCAATTTTAATGCAGTGGAAGCAATGCGGCAGAAATTGATAGCGCAGGATAATTCATTGCAATTAACGGTAATACCGTAATAGCGCCCACATAATGTCTGTGGCTTAGTTGCTTCACGCGTCCATGATTCTGGACTTTCTAACTAAACTGATATGTGGTGAAGCAGATTAAGGGGCAAGAAGACTTCAAAACTAGCCTTGAAGGAGGCATCAAGTCTATTTCTGAAGAAGTCAGCAAAAATACCTATCAAGACAAATTACAGGAGATTTTCTTGGCGCTTTCAGCTTTACCAGAAAAGATAGGAGTCGCTGAAGCAGCTTTACTGAAATCACAAAACAAGCTGCATGACTCCTTCATCAAGGAAATGCAGGTCTGTTAGATAT